TTTATAAAATCATGATTTCTTTAGCTCTAGATGTTTTGTTGTTGTTTGTTTTTGGTTTTATTTGTTTTTATTTTTGAGACCTTTTCACTTTGTTGCCTGGTCTAGAGTGCTGTAGCATCCGCCTGGCTCACAGCAACCTCAAATTCCTGGGCTCAAGCGATCCTCCTGCCTCAGCCTCCAAAGTAGCTGGGAATACAGGTGCGCACTACCACGCCTGGCTAATTTTTCTATTTTTATTAGAGATGGGAGTCGCACTCTTGCTCAGGCTGGTCTCAAACTCCTGAGCTCAAGTGATCCTCCCACCTCTGCCTACCGGAGTGCTAGGATTCCAGGCATGAGCCACCATGCCCAGCCGTTTAGCACTAGATTTTAAGCTTCTTTTTAGTTTTATAATTGATTCTTAACAACCTGGATTATATTACTATGTAAAGGATTTACTGGTCCTTTCTAATTCATGATCTTATGCATGTATAGGAGAGGAAAATTTCTCTTCTCCTCTATCCTTTTAGGGTCTCTAGCTGGATAGGAGAATTAAACTGACATAAAATAGATGGCAGGAGAAAAACAAGTCTTAATTTTTTTTTTTAACATGTACATGGGAGCCTGTATAAGAAAAGTAAACACTCAAACAGGTAGAGCTGAATGCTTATATGCTGAATTGGACAAAGAGTAGTAAATTTTCAAAATGTGAGAAGATGAGCTTATCCCCGTTTCCCTCATGATGGGGGAAAAGTCACTAGGAAGATAAGGGTTAGCTTAATAAGGTTTATTTGTACACATTTTTCTCAGCATCAACTCCCAATCAATGGTAATAACACTGTTATTTCCTTCTTGTATAGTGATTACATCTTCTATATGGAACTTTTTTTTGCTTTCAGGAACAAGGAGATGGTCAGAGCACTCTTTGCACCTGCTGTTTTTCAAGTCCCTTTTGATCAAAATAATCCTTATGCCACAGTGGCATGTTTGAGGGGACATATTCTGCCACCTATCGTATGCTATCAGTTACACATTGTATCAGAGAGTTTTTAACTATTAGGGTAATTTTAAAGCAATAATAGCAGATAATCTCCCATTTTGTACACAGGGCAAACATTGCTGATTGATCTTGCTGCTTTCTCTATCTAAGGCTGAACTCTCTCAAATTCTTAATACGGTAACAATCTGAGTTTATACTTGTCACCTTTAATAAAAGTTAAGGAGATTGATATCACAAGTTGCTGGTGAAAAATTCATTTTATAAATACATATGTACATACATACATAATATGAGTCTTTGATTTTTGTTGTTTCTTTGTTGTATAGAGTTGTGAATTGAAACATGAGAGCTGGGAATATGTGAGAGATGACAGGGCCTTAACTCAGAGTAGTAACTGGGTGGGGGGAGAAGGAGCCTTTGACAGATACTGCATGGGAACTGGGCTCTGTAAATGATTTTGTAAACAGGAGTATTGTTAGAGGGAGAGAGGACTCTCCCCATTGGGTTGCACGTCCATGAGAGCAAGGGACAGGTTTGCAGTGCCTAGAACACTGTCTGGTCCATATCCAGTGTTAAATATGCATTTAGTGAATGAGTGATTCTGAGATGAATGATGTTACCATTAACGGAAATGGAGAACATAGGCGGAGGAGCAGCCTGTGTGCTGGGAGAAGTGGTAGTAAACTGTGTTTTAGACGTAATGAGCTGGAGTTGCTGATAGGACGCCCAGGAGGAGAGATGTCAAGGGAGCATTTGGAAATGCTGGCTTTCATCCTATAAAAGAAACTGGGAGGTCGATTTGGACATGAAGTTCATCCTTAGATGCATTGCTGAAAGAGACTGAAGTTGACAAGGGAAAGATGTTAAAGAAAGATAGGACTCCATAGTGCAAATCCCTGGAGACCATCTAGGTGAGAAGGAGAAAGATGAATCGTTAGATGTACAAAGGATGACTACGGTTTCTTTGGTTTCCCAGAAACTAAGAAGGGTGGCCATGAAGAGAAATTTAGTTTCAATAGTTAGCTATCAATTTCTTAGTTCTCAGGCTGCTGCTGCTATTTCCTTTGGGTACAAAGTATTAAATTGAAACAGGACACTTGGGTTTTTAGTAGGAACTGGATTTTTAGCATTATAAATACGTAGTATACCAAATATATTTCCCTTTGGATTTTTTTTTGAAAAAAAATTTTTTTAAATTTTAGCATATTATGGGGTACAAGTGTTAAGATTACTCCCCCCACGAGTAAGAGCTTCAAGCATGTCCATCCCCCAAATGTTGCACTTCTTACTTGTTGTGGTTGTATATACCCATCCCCTCCTCCCTCCTGATACCCTCCCTTTGGATTCTATATTATATGTTCCTAGGTTGCTGCTTAACTTTGAGAGTTGAAAAAATTATGTTCATGCATCAGTGACATCTTTTAGACAAAATACATGTTATTTTTATTATAAATGATAAAAGAACAGAATTTTCCTCTAAGATACCTCTAATGCTTTAGCCATTCCTGTATAATCTTGAGATTTTTGTCATATCTGTGTACCATATGTTGTCTTTTATTTAAAATGTTTGTTTACTGGTTTACTGTATACTTGAATTTACTGTACAACTATATTTGTAATGAGTATTTGCATTATGTTTGGCAAATTTGTGGAATACATATAGGAAATAATTAATGTATTATCGAGGAGATCTTATACTTGTGGGGAAGCAGTTTAATGATGTTGATATAGGTGGGCATTGGGGATGCAGATATTTTAGAAACACAGAGAAGGCACCTAATTCAGCAAGGGAGATTTGAAAGGCAGTGGAGTCATCTCTGAGAAACTGGCTGGTCAGTATCATTTGAGTGTTTCCAGCATCTGACACATAATAAATAAGGAATGTTCAGTGAATAAACTCTAGGTTTGGAGGAGTTATTTCATAACAATTTTAGTACATAGAGTTATAGAGCATATATTCACTTGTTTCAGTATTCCAGGTAAGAATGTTGAAATTATTCCAAATGTTAAATTTTTTTTATTGGTGGGAGATTTTCCTGTTTTATTACTTCAGTACTTATTTATTCTACACAGGATTTTTTTTACTTAAAATTAACAAATATTATTATATAAGCCCTTCCCTTCCCAATTGATACTACACTAATCATCCCCCTAAACAAAATTTGAAAATATCATTTTCATGAAAAAAAGCTTGCCAGTTTTTCCCTGGGCTTTCCTTCTTGTTTGTATTAAAAGAGATTTCAGTGAATTAATTGCCCCACGTGTAGTTCATTGTGATTTTTTTTCCCTTCCCTGTAATAAATTGGTAACTGGCACCAAAATGATGAAATCTAGGCCAGTGAGCATCAGGCAGCTGTCAGCTCGCTGAGCTTATAAAAGAGATGAGATAACTGAAAACCAGGGTAACCAGCAGGGGGGAAAATGGGGCATGTAATTAGGAGACATGATTCCTCACCCTTCTTCCATAAGGTAAGAGAAGGATTTAAAGAAGAAGAAGGAGAAAAAAAGATGATTCTATTTGATCTGCCAAAACCAGCTGTGGAAAAAAAACGATACGTGTTATAATCTTTTACCTTGCATGTTAATCTTAGAGAAAAGTATTGGTTTTCAAAAGTAAAGTAATTCCTTTACTGATTATGCACTTGTTTTCTCATCTATAGTCTGTTGGGGAAATTCAGAAAATTTTAGTATTTCATGATATGATCGATTCCCATTCTAGTAATTGAGTGAAGGACTCGTTAAGTAACAAATGATGATGGGTATGTTGCTGCAAGCCAAGGGTCTTAGTCTGTTTAGTGTTTCTGTAAAGGAATACCTACCTGAGTCTGCATGATTCATAAAGGAAAGAGGGTTATTTGGCTCATGGTTCTACAGGCTGGTGTAGAACCAGCTCATGGTTCTACAGGCTGGTGTACAGGAAGCAGGGTGCCAGCATCTCTTTGGCTTCTGGCTAGGGTCTCAGGCTGCTGCCCGCCCTGTGGTGGAAGGCACTGCAAAGCTGGCGTGTGCAGAGATCACATGGCAAGAAAGGAAGCAAAAGAGGGTGAGGCCAGGTGCCGTAATCTTAACAACCAACTCTCACAGGAACTAGAGAACGAACTCACTGCTGCGAGAATGGCACCAAGCCATTCATGAGGGATCTGCCCCATGACCCAGACACCTCCCAATAGGCCCACCTCCAACACTGGGGGCCCAATTTCAACATGAAGTTTGGAGGGAACGAATATCCAAAGCCAAAGCACTAACTATATAATGTAGCGGACAAGAATAATAGAACGTCTCTGTCCCTCCACTGCCTTCTGCTGGATTAATGATGGAGAGCAGTGCTGATGATAGAAGGAGCTAGAGTCTGGGTATCAGCCATAAAATCAGATTAGCCTTGTTCCCCCCAGGCCATCACTTAACCCCTCTAAACCTCCATAGACATAAGAGGCAAATAATAGTACCTACCACAGAGAACTGTAAAATATAAGATTTTACCTAAGATCAAATGAGATAAACTGCTCTTGTTAAATGAGAAGATGCTCTATTAATGTAACATTATATTACTGTTGTTTGTTGTTTTGTTGGCTTTTATGTTAACTTAGTATCTGTGGATTCTAGTGTATCTGTTACCGATATAATATTGAAAATCTGTTTTGTTGCAAACAGTGTATCTCTAGGATTTAGTTTCAAATGTAGCACCTTCTTTTCCATGTCGAGATGAATAACTGCTGTGTTATCTGTAATAGAGTTTGGAATACTGTAGACTTATGTAAATTCTTAGATGCTTAATAGTGCCATATTAAAGAACTAAAACCAAAAGAACCACTTAAATTTGGAGATGGGATTTCCATAGGACACAAAGCAAATGTCCAAAATGAACAAAGGTTCTTTGGTTATGGTTCAGTTTAAAGTTTTACATACTCCCTTTACAATAGTTTGGAATGATGCTGGAGATTTTTGTACCCAGAACACTAGACTTTTTATTGTTAGAGAACAAAATATCAGTGAAATACTGAATTCTATTCTTTTTCTACAGTGCCTCCAAAGCCATTACACCTGCAGAATTCACCTTCGTCCAATATACACCAAACCCCCAGGCATAAAGCTTTACCTAGTGAAAAACCAAGGATGGAGGAAGTTAAACCTGCCTCTGCTTCTTGTGTCTCAAAAGAAAAGCCCAGTAAGGTATCAGACCTCATCAGTCGCTTTGAAGGAGGCAGGTAAGAGTTAATTTGCATTGGGAGAAGACAGGGGGAAGAAGAAAACTGGGTTTTGAAAAGATGATAGAGTCGTCGTAGATTTTGTAAATCAAAAACATAAAATTAATAGTATCTCATTCCTGTTAGGTTTGGTAGGCCTTTAGAAAAAGTGAATTTTTAAAATAAATGATTTAACTTTACCCTAGTATGAATTGTCATTTACTGTGTGTTACCTTTTTGCAGCACTGTAGGCCACCAGCTTTTTCACCAAATTGTGTGCTTTTGTATATATGTGCACACTCTTATTTCCTCTGTATGTATGTGTTGTTCTGTTGGTCACTGGATTAAGTGGGTTGTAAAGACCAGGAGGTTGTCTCTCTCTCTCTCTCTGCTTCTTACTTTGTATGTTGTGAATGTGACTCCTGTGGACTCTTCTCATCCCTGGAACCCTCTCTTCTTTCTGACTCATCTTACTTAATGTGGGTCTTCTATACCCATTCAGTCCCTCTTTCCCCTCTCCACCTAACCCATCTTATGGTCGGTTTTGGAAAGAGCTATTATTGCTAATAGCAAAATCCATGCTAAATTTCAGTTTTGTATTTATTAGATGTAAATTATTCTTTAGTCCTGATGTTCAAAAAAAAGTTGGTGAAATAGTGTATCTTTCTGACTTAAAAACATAAAAAACCTGCATCAGTTCCTTTTGTATTTTTAAGACACTCAATTGTTTTTTCTTAGAGTCTTTTGATGAAAAAAGAATTTTCATCACAGACTTAAATAGAATTTAAAAAAATTTTATCACAAGGGTTTGGTTTTTATCTGTCACAAAAAGTCTATCTGTAATTAAACAGAATAGGTTGGTCCGAGTGCAGTGGTGTTTACAACTAATTGATCACAACCAGTTACAGATTCCTTTGTTCCTTCTCCACTCCCACTGCTCCACTTGACCAGCCTAAAAAAAAAAAAGAAAACTTCACTTTCATCCTTGAAGCGAAATTTTTTCATTCACTGCAGTGTAATTTTGGGAATGGTTTCCCATTAGGTGATTTTATTATTTATTTGCAGGATTCTTTGTTATTTATGTAATGAAATCATGGCTCAGAAATACTTTGAGAATCTTTTGGAAATTGTGACCAAGCACAAAACTGCAGTGTCCCTCATTTGAAAAATGGGACTATATCTATTTACAAGTTTTGGAACAAAGTAACTTAGAACCTGTCTTCATTTTTCATTTCTGATCATTTGTTGGAACTTTGGTCATAAATATTTAAATGTTAACATCTGCTGCTCTGAACTAGGATTAATAATATCTCTGCTGTCTTAAATTACAGTGATCTTTACTGGAATGATTTCATTCCATTTAGAACTTTTTTTTTTTTTTTTTTGCTTCTCAGAGTAAGTTGATTTAATTAACAACAGAGAGTAAACCCCCTCCATTTGCAGAGTCTAGGGGCCATGCCCAGCAGTGACTGCAGAACACAAGGAGGGCTGGGTCTCTGATCCCCATCTTAGTGCATGCCAGAGCTTGTGACCTAGGTTTCAAGGGTGGCCTTTTGGAAGCCCTGAATGGGTCAGTCTTCCAAAGGCAGAGTCCTGTAATCCTCACCATTTTGGTATCCTCCCTACATGTGAAATGTTTACGGTTTTTTTGCTATCAGTTTTTTTTACTCTTTGAAACTTTACAAATTGAAAGTGATTTTTTGATGGAAAGCTTGAAGGTTTGACGTAAGAAGAGATATGCTGTAATTTATTATATTTTAAGCAAGTTGTTTCTGAGTGCAGATAAGGTGTCATGTGTTTTGGCAAGTCTGGCGAAGGGCTGTTAATTGTGCTACTGCCAATATGAAAAATAATTGTGTTCTCAGTGAGTTATTACCACCACAAACTGGCCCGTAGTGTCTGAGTAGGTTAATATTGCATTGGATCTAAAGGATGTGAGTGGGAAATTTGTATTTACTGTTAAGTGACATCCATGTGCCTCTGAAGGTGGTTTTTGGTTTTAACCCTGTTATTAGAGCCTGAACTAGCTAGCACTTTATAAAATAGAGGGTGATTGCCAAGCTCTGAGTTACCATGGGAAATTGACAGGAAGAACCAAGATCTGTTAGAGTCGAGCCTGGTCAGGTGGTCATAGAGAGCCGTATTACACTGCTGTTAGACCTTACCTGAGCATCGCAGTTTGTCCTGGGCAGTGATTCAAGTAACTCTATTTTATTAACATGAGAAATCTGCAACAAGATTTTTTTAAAAACTGGTTTCCTTTCTTCTTTTCTCTCTTTCCTCCCCTTCTGCCTCCTTTTTCTTCCTCTTTCTCTCTTTTCAGAATAAAGTACTCCTTTTAACCTAGGAAAGACTTAAAGATTTTCCAGCCAGCTCACTAACAAA